TTTTCGAACGAAATGCAGATGCACAAATTCCATGGTTTTGGAGTTGTCTATGTCAAAGTTGATCGGAAACGTGGAAAGTTGATTCTATCTGGTGAGACTCCCTACATCCCTGCCAAAATACAAGTGAAAAAAATAATCCTCCTGTCATTAAGTTCTTTGATGCAAATGGCAAGGCGGTATACACCTCTCAGTCCGTCACTGGATCCCAACTTCGCGGCAGAGATCACGATATGGGGCGCCGATCTGACCAAACCCTTGTGGGTATTGGCTGGAGTAGACGAGGACAACTGGTGGAACGACTTCGTTCCGGAAGAGGTTCAACTCGTGTGCTCGGGTTCCAAGTTGTCGGGGTCCAAGTCCAGCTACTGCCTAAAGGTGGTGGAAAAGGGAATACCCAAGGCCACGGACTTCGTCTACATCGGATCTGGTATCGTGGCGGTAGCGTCGTGGTTAGACAAAAGCCCGGATACTCCCAGGTCCGAATCGCCCGAGTACCCCTACGGGGACTTCGGCATGGTCGCAGAAAGCCAGAGATGGGTATCGCGTGGTGTTCGAGCTCCCCAACGATGATGCTATACAAACGTCCGAACAATGTGTGCAGTTACGCAATGTCAAGCGCGGGAAGGCAGTTTCATTCGATGGTTGTTGTTACGGACATTGGCATCCTCGTCACGTGTGTCGTACATACAATCCAGATGGAAACTGATAGCATGGGGGGTTGATCCGAGCGCATTGATGAAAGGGTGCACGGAGAAGCATTCTCACGCTGATCTCGAGGCAATCAAAGAACAAGGCAAGGGTGTGAGGAGAACGGGCAAGGTTGCTCGCAAGCTTCTGCAGAACATCGTGAACCACAAGACAAGTGCGGAAGCTATGGTCACGGCCCGCAAGACCGGGTTGGGGCCGATTGATCGGGTCATGATTGAGTTCTGTTGCGCTCAGGACAGTGCGCTGGGGAAACCCACCGCCAACAGTAAAGGATGCAAGTTGTACGCATTCATGAACACATCAATGCTAACTCCAAAGCATGTGAGGACATGGTTATGGGGGAGTTGAAGTCGGTAATGAGGGACAGCCCGCGCGCGAAGGTGCTGATCTACGCAGCACTTCCGTGTACTGGGGGGTCTAGCTGGCAGTTCGTCAATGAGGCCCATGGTCCCAATGAGAAGGTGAGGGGGAGAAAGAGGGTGTTTCGTAGGCTTCTCAAATTTCTCAAACGCCTGCTGCTGCGGCTCGCGGATTATAAGCCTTGCCTTGCTTTTGAGTTCCCGAAGACGTGTGCATATTGGAAGTGGCCTGAGGTTCAATCGCTTGTCAAACAGTGCAGTCTGATCAAGTTTCGCGTTGATGGTTGTGCTGTAGGTGTTGTTGATCATGCCGGGGCACCGCT